TAATTAATCAAATTTTCACTCACTTTTTCTATTAATTGGGTGTTCTATGCTATTTATTTATGTCTGCTATATTTCTAACTTTTTATTTTGATTGCTTTTCAAACCTGGAAAAGATACATGAAAATATCTGACCAAACCAGCTGCCATTGGCCACTCAGATCCAGAACCATGAGGTGGGACAACTTTGAACTTTCAGTATAACTGTTTCACAATTACATCTCTGTATCTCCACACTAGGTTTACTTTTAGTAACAAGTTGAACCCTTTGGTTTCTAGAACTCAAAGCCATTTGATTTGTTTTACTGATGTAAGCACCACTCTATAATTTGCCTAGTATTTGTTAAATGAAGTATTAAGTTGAATAAAGTTAAATTTGAAACCAAGACAATTTAGAAATTGAGCTAGTTTCAGCCAGTTTTGAGATTACATAGCTTTCTAATGGAGTAAGAGTGCTAGAAGCCCAGTGGTTAGTTTTCCCAAGTGAGACAAAAGTATTTCCATATTGCAGCTGGTTCTAGTTGAATTTGTACAAGTATGTCACCAGCCATTTTTATTCTTAGTTCCCAGTCCTCTGACTTTTATGATTTTTTTAAAGATTTTATTTATTTATTTGATAGGTAGAGTTACAGACAAAAGGAGAGACAAAGAGAAAGACCTTCCACCCACTGGTTCACTCCCCAAATGGCCACAACTTCCAGAGATTGGCCAATCTGAAGCCAGGAGCCAGAAGTCTGCTTCAGGTCTCCCACATGGGTGCAGGGGCCCAGGTGCTTGGGCCATCTTTTACTGATTTCCCAGGCTATAAGCACAGAGCTGGATTGAAAGAGGAGCAACCAGGACATGAACTAGGCATCTATATGGGATGCCAGCACCACAGGTGGAAGTTTAGCCTATTATACCACAGCGCTAGCCCTATAGTTTGTAAAGTCTGGATCATGTTGAACTTGAGACACATACATGCCATTGAGACTTATCAGTTGATTGTCACCAGATTTTTTTTGCTTTTTTTATTTTTGGTATTTCCTATTTTGTTCAATTCATAGGGAAATTTGAAACTTTCTATTCCAAAGATCACTTAAATCCTTCTGTGCTGATACATTTGGTATCCTGAGCCCACTGACTTGTATCATGATGATCATCATTATTGTATTTATCTATTTTTTATGTAATTATTTTGTGAAATAAAAATTGATCTCTGTTGGAAGAGTCTAATGTGAAGAAGTCTGAATGTAGGACTGAAACAAAAATAATGATGTATTGTGTGGTATTAAACAATAGCATAATGTCCACTCTGAGCAAAACTTTGTCATGAACATTTCATTAGAGTGCAGAAGCTGTGTCAGTTATTTTCTGCTTTTCCTACTGCTCTTTTAGGAACTTTTCTTCCACTGATGGAATTGCCATTCCATCACAGTGAAAGACAACAGAGTAATGTGAAATGGTGATTGACAAAAGTGGGAGCTCAGGCTGGTCTGTCCTTGGCAGTTTCAGTAAATTCCCTATCCTGATTTAAAAGGAAGCCAGTGCTACTTTAGTTTTTGGAGTTTCTTTAGCACTTTTCAAAACTGTCTCAATTACCTATTGGTAAAGTTGGACATTCAGAACAGCAGATACAACAAATAGTTTAAATATTGTAGTAAATTAGTTCCTTGTAAAAAAAAAAGAAGAAGAAAAAATCCTGCCCTCTTAAATTCCTTTTTCCATTTATTTAGTAAATATGTATTTTTTTTCTCTCAGTTTTAGCTTTTTCAAGTCAAACAAAATTATAGTGGATATAACTTTACCTTTGAAATAATGAGTTTTTCCTATTAAGTAAATTTTTAAAATAAGCTAGAATTAATTAAACATAGGTTCTATAACTATCAGTGTGAGCTTGAACAGCTTGTTTCATCTCCTAAAATTCTTAGTTTATTCAGCACTGAGCAATAATGACAACAACAGTGAGAATGAGTGTTCATCTCATAGATTGCTGACATGGCTATACCTTTAGCACTCTGTCTGGTATTTGGTAAATTTGCAACATCATGGGTCTTGGGTGCTAATCTGCAAGGAAAGAATTTGCCATTCCAGTGTTCCAGTGAGTTTATCTAAATAGAAATTATATTTGTGCAATTTAAGAAAAAATTAGGAAACTTTTGCCCCAAAATCTTGAAACATATTTTTTGCCTAAGTGGTATAGGCAATGACCAGTTAGACTTAAATGAATGAAGGATCTCTTAAGTCTTAGATCAGCCTTCAACAGTTTATTCTTTCCTCTATTGATTAAGCACCCCAGAGGCTAGGTTCTCTTCTTTCCTCTATTGATTAAGCACCCCGGAGGCTAGGTTCTCTTCTTTCCTCTATTGATTAAGCACCCTGGAGGCTAGGTTCTCTTCTTTCCTCTATTGATTAAGCACTCCGCAGGCTAGGTTCTCTTCTTTCCTCTATTGATTAAGCACCCCAGAGGCTAGGTTCTCTTCTTTCCTCTATTGATTAAGCACCCCAGAGGCTAGGTTCTCTTCTTTCCTCTATTGATTAAGCACCCCAGAGGCTAGGTTCTCTTCTTTCCTCTATTGATTAAGCACTCCACAGGCCAGGTTCTCTTCTTTCCTCTATTGATTAAGCACCCTGGAGGCTAGGTTCTCTTCTTTCCTCTATTGATTAAGCACCTCAGAGGCTAGGTTCTCTTCTTTCCTCTATTGATTAAGCACTCCGCAGGCTAGGTTCTCTTCTTTCCTCTATTGATTAAGCACTCCGCAGGCTAGGTTCTCTTCTTTCCTCTATTGATTAAGCACCCCGGAGGCTAGGTTCTCTTTCCTTTATTGATTAAGCTCTCCGCAGGCTAGGTTCTCTTCCTTGGGAACTCGCAATGTGTTCTTTTCCTTTCATTTAGTTTTTCTACCCCGAGTCCCACTGTCACCATTAACAGTTACTATGCACTCAAAAAGTGACACAATTTTCTTTTCCTTCTTTTCACAATTCCTTTTAAAGCAACAATAAAATTTCTCTACCAAAAGTGATTTTCGGGGTGTGGTGACAAAGTAACTCTTCTAAACTTAGAACCGCCCTGATGTGATAGCCATACTCTCAGATGAGATAGGAGATGAATAAAATAGCGAAAACAAGGGCAGGCCAAGCAGCTGTCCAGCTCCCCCAGTTTAATTCGAGTTCCTCCTGCAGATTTAAGACATCTTTGATTTAAAAACAGGCAGACACACCATTGTTTATCTTTAAGTGCAGATATATGACCTAACGACAAATCGAGAGCCAGGCATGGTTCCAGGACTCTGTAGCAATGTCATTTGTTTAGCTCTACAAGAAGGTCTTTTCAGAACATCTCACAGGACCTCTTTGCTGTTCCCAAAGGAATGCCAAGTTCATATGATTGACCCCGTATCTCTGAGCTGACTCACCTCTGTGGGCCACGGACTGCACTGGGATTGAATTGGCATCAGACTGGCTTTTATGGAAAAGCAAAAGGCCGAAGTGAGATCTTAGAATTGGAAGACAACTTGGAAGTCTCATGTCCACCCTGCTCCTCAGTGGTCCTTTTTGTGGCTTCTGTGACAAGTAGACCCCTAAGCTCTAAACACTCTCAGCAATAGGGTTGGTTTGGTACCCATCCTTCATCTACCCCACATACCACATAATCCAGCATAGCAGTGTAAATAGAAAGCTGAAGGAAACTTGGGTTTCAGCCTTGCCTTTTTTTTTTATAAATTTGAAGAATGTTTTATTTTATTTATTTATTTTTTGACAGGCAGAGTTAGACAGTGTGAAAGAGAGAGAGACAGAGAAAAGGTCATCCTTTTCCGTTGGTTCACCCCCCAAATGGCCGCTATGGCCAGTGCACTGTGCCAATCCGAAGCCGGGAGCCGGGAGCCAGGTGCTTCCTCCTGGTCTCCCATGGGGTGCAGGGCCCAAGGACTTGGGCCATCCTTCACTGCCTTCCTGGGCCACAGCAGAGAGCTGGCCTGGAAGAGGAGCAACCAGGACAGAATCCAATGCCCCAACCGGGACTAGAACCCGAGGTGCCGACACCACAGGTGGAGGATTAGCCAAGTGAGCTGCGGCGCCAGCCTAGCCTTGCCCTTTCTAATCCCCCTACCCTGATTACATCACTTCACTTCTTTGTAGGTGCTTCACTGTCAAGCAGTGCTTCATCTACTACAAAGGTTTGTTTTAATACCAAAGAAAACAGCAGATGGGTAATAACTTTTTTAAATTGTTGTGTTTTCTCTAAATGTAATATGTTGTTATTGCCATTAAATTTGTCAGTGAATAATTGCTGAATGAATGACTGATCTACTTAATTACCATTTCGCCCCATGCTCTAGTGGGTAGAAAAAAAAGTCCCAGCAAACAGTATTAAAGGTTAGTCCATGTGTCCTTATGGGAACATATGAAGTTCCTTCAGAGATTTAGTAGAAAATACAATTAAAAGATTAGTTTATTTTGGAACATTTTTAGAAATCCTAATATAGTTTTTTTTTTTAAAAAAGATTTATTTGTTTATTTGAAAGTCAGAGTTATACAGAGAGAGGAGAACCAGAGAGAGAGGGAAAGAGAGGTCCTCCATCCGCTGGTTCACTCCCCAATTGGCCGCAACGGCCGGAGCTGCACCGATCCAAAGCCAGGAGCCAGGAGTTTCTTCCAGGTTTCCTACGCGGATGCAGGGGCCCAAGGTCTTGGGCCATCTTCTACTTCTCTCCCAGGCCATGGCAGAGAGCTGGATGGGAAGTGGAGCAGCCAGGTCTCGAAGTGGCACCCATAGGACATTAACCTGCTGTGCCACAGCGCCGGCCCCTATATAGTTCCTTTTAATAATACACCTTTTTCATGTGCCTTTGGAAGACCCCTTGCATGTACATATGCCTGAAAATCGCAAATCCGATGTTCACAAGAGTCCAAGTTCATAATGTTCCAAGAGTCCATTGACTCGATATGGATGTGAAATTAGATACTCTGAATCCCAGTGTTAGAGTGTCAGCTACTGACCTCCTGCCTCTAATTTCTTCCAGGAATTTCTACTACATCACAATGTTGCGGGATCCAGTTTCTCGCTACCTGAGTGAGTGGAAACATGTCCAGCGAGGGGCCACATGGAAAACTTCTCTCCATATGTGTGATGGAAGAAGCCCCACCCCTGATGAGCTGCCTACCTGCTACCCTGGGGACGACTGGTCTGGGGTTAGCTTGCGGGAATTTATGGATTGCAGCTACAACCTGGCTAACAACCGCCAAGTGCGAATGCTGGCAGACCTCAGCCTGGTGGGCTGCTACAACTTGACTTTCATGAATGAGAGTGAAAGAAACACCATCCTGTTGCAAAGTGCAAAGAACAACCTGAAGAACATGGCCTTCTTTGGGCTCACTGAATTCCAGAGGAAGACACAGTTTCTCTTTGAGAGGACATTCAATCTCAAGTTCATCTCCCCCTTCACACAGTTCAATATCACGCGGGCTTCCAATGTGGAAATCAATGAGGGTGCCCGCCAACGTATTGAGGAGCTAAACTTCCTGGACATGCAGCTTTACGAGTATGCAAAAGATCTCTTCCAGCAACGCTACCATCACACCAAGCAGCTAGTGCACCAGAGAGACCGCCAAAAGAGGCGGGAGGAACGGAGGCTACAGAGAGGGCACAGGGCCCACCGTTGGCCAAAAGAGGATGCAGCCACAGAGAGGACTGTCACGGAGGACTACAACAGCCAGGTGGTGAGATGGTGACCCCCTGCTTGCTCCTCTCTTGGTAGGGGAAGGATGAGCAGATGCATTGACTTTTATTGCATTAGTTGAAGATGTCAGGTTATTCTGAGAACATCTGGCTGTAGGTGACTTGAATTGGACATGCACTTCCTCTGTCTTCATTTTTATCCAGCTGGAGATTAACCACCTTGTTCTTTTATTTCCCACATTATTCTATCAATGCTGTTAAACAGGAGAGGAATATATCCAACATAGACCACTTTAGGAGGTCAAGAGGAGAAGCAGCCAAAAGAAAGCAGTCGCTGCAACCTTCGCAGCAGCATAGGTTATAGTTCTGGTGCCTAGAACCCACAGAGGCACACATGAAAAGCCAAACTGTGGCTTGGATGTTCCGCTGAATCCAGTCTGTTTCGTACTGTCTCTGCTGTGGAAATATTGGTCTGTTTCATTAGACAGAGAAGGACCTTTTAGCCCTTAGATGAGGTTTTCTGGCAATGCTTCATTGACTGTGGGCTCTCATCTTTGAACTCTATTTGGATGTGTTTAAATCATAAGTAGAGTGATGTGTTTTGTTGTAGCAGATGCTTTTAAACAAAATTACCCTACTGTTGACCATCGCCAGAGACCCACATCCAGCAAAACCCAAACACCATAGTGCTAAGCCATGCTTCCTCTCCATCGTTTAGGGAACAGGGAGTGGATATAGGACAGGGATGATTGCAATTCCTGCAAACTGAACATTGGTGAGGTGTTTCCAATAACTTGCTTATTTATTAATGTCTAAGCAGATCACAGTTTACCAGTTTCAATCTTCAATGTGAGCAATGAATGATAAATTAAGAGAAGAAAACAAAGCAGGAGGAGACCTATATGGTTTACATTTCCAAGCCAGCTACAGAACCCTTGTTTTTATAGAAATATTCGAGTTTAACCCCTTTGGAGCAGTCATCATCTTTAATTTGGTACTGCCAGGTTTGAAATTCTGCTAACACAAAGGAAAAGAATTTATAAAGAACTTGACCTGGATTATATTTGAGGTCCCTAAATGAATAATAGCTCTGAGTTAGGCTAGGAGACATGGAACCCCATTAATAGGACACCTGTCCTAGGAATTTAGATGTCTTTTCTACTCCTCACTGCACACACTCCTGAATGTCTCCAGCACGGTAGCTTATTTTCTTCCCATATGATCTTTACCTGTTACTAGACTATGGATCCAGGCAGCAAATCAGGTCTAGAGTGCATAAAACTGGACTAAAACGTGTGCTGCATTGCCAAGTGCTCCTTATTTTTGCCTTTACTCAACGATAATGGAAAGAAGTCTTTTTGAAAACCAAGGGGAGTGTGAAGGAACAGAGACTAGAAAGCCTTCGCCTCGCATTCAGTGGGAGGATCAGAGTGGATAGGAAGTTATACAACAGATTGATCTGATCAATCCCTTCAAGGAGCTGAAGGCAAAATGAGTGAAACCCCTAAATCAGATTGAAAAGCCTATTTCATTGATATCCAACATGTTTGATGTTTAAGCCAGCTTTGCTTAAGCCACTTCTCAGCCTCCAGAATACTCTCTCTGGGGTTGAGAGTCAATCAACCCACAAATGTTTATAGAGCTGCCTACACGAATAGAGAGGAGTTTGGCATCTCCATCAAATGGAGATCTGGAGAAGTGGCTCACACATTTCTTTCACCCCACCTTGGCTTCATCTGTGGTGCAAGGGATGGCCCTCTGTGCCAAGACTGAGAGAAGACTCTTTCCATACCTTCAAAAATTTTGTAGATGAGAAAAGTGAAGCCCATAGATGCTAAGTAGCAACCTTACCGGTTGGCAGCTAGGTCTAGCTAACTGCAAAGTGCAGCTCTTTTTACTCCGTCATCCCATACACCTGAGACAAGAGCTCAAGCCACCAAACATGCAAGAAGCCAGATGCTGTTGCAAGAACTGATAGCCTTTAACCGCTGTTTGTGGTGCAGCTGTGACAGCACCAAGCTTATAATGACCCAGAGCTATGCTGCCTTGGGTGAGTCCAACGCCCTCCACATCACTGGTCCATCAAGGAATAGAGAGATAGATGACAGTTTAGGCAACCAGACTTTTTTGAGTCACATACAAATTGAATTAAAAATGGACAAATGAACACTGCTTATTTATTTGTGTCTCCCTTCCCTATGCTTTGTTCCTAAGGTAGAAAGTGAAGGAACATGGCAGCTGGTAATAATGAACAGCTCGCTTGTTCCCTCTCCCTCTCCCTCTCCCTCTCCCTCTCCCTCTCCCTCTCCCTCTCCCTCTCCCTCTCCCTCTCCCTCTCCCTCTCCCTCTCCCTCTCCCTCTCCCTCTCTATCTCTATCTTTGTATTTCAATGTTAAGATCTAATAATGTTCTGCTGAGAATAGCAGGACTGCAAATTACCCTTCTGCCTGCCACTGTGACACATACACATGCATGCATGTTCACATGCACACACACACACACACAATGATGATGCAGTATTTTGTCATGTGGAAAATCAAAACAACTTAGAGAGCATTCAGATTATTCCCTTTAAACTCACTTCAAATTTTTGGCAGAGAATTCCTGCATAGCTGAGACTTGGAGGCGGCCCCTGCTAACTTCACACTGTTCTTTAGGTGCCTTGGGACTTATCTCAAAAGGCTTTCCACTGCCTTGCCGTGATGTGTGGTGCTCCACCTGAGACCAGATATCAGAATGTTCAGAAGAGAAACCATCTCTTTGCTGGCCCAAGGCCACGGATGAGCAAATTAAAAAAGACCGACAAGGGCTTCCTCCCTCATATCATTTCATTCAGAAGCAGCACACTTTTACATCCCTGAGGTCCTATGTTGATAGAAATAGAGAGGTAGCGACACAGTGTGTTCTCTGAAAATTGACTGCACATCTACATGCTGAGTGAAGCTCAGGGAAGGATGCCAATGGAAGGCAGCTGGGCCTAAGTATATGTGGGCAATTTAGCTGTCTCAAGACTGCAAAACAAATAAACTACAGATACATCAGTGTCCACAGTGCAAGAAGAGAGCCTCTCCCTGCTCCCTGGCCTCAAATTCCCCAGGGAATGCACAGGCTTCCACTCCCACAATTTGCTCAAAGACATCCTTTTCTTTGTCTTGGCAATAACTACACCAATAACCAGATTGGGATAGATGTCCTTGGGAATATGTGCATGTACGTGTGCTTTTAAATTTTATTAAGAATTAAGGTACACACTGTTCATTTTGCCTTCATCTTTTTGGCCATCTACTCTTGGTAACTGGAGAAAACTTCCATAAGTATTACTTTAATACTCTTTAATAATTGATAGCATTACTAATCAATGTTAGATGATAGCTTGTGATATCATGTGTTATTTAAAAATGATAAAGAAATGTTATCATTCCAAGGAGTTAACTTCACCATAAATAGTTTAAGGAAACTTTGAAATATGAGACTCCATTTGGTTATGCCCTCAAGGTAATTTCTCAAGAGTCTGAGTAGACATACTGTTCTAATATCGGGAAGAAGGTCTATAAAATAGAACTGGCAAGGAAGTAAGAATGTATTATTGAACAGTAAGTGTGTGTATATTGGATAGAATTGTTATTTGGCTATCTTAGCCAAGAAATCCAAAACAATAGTAAAATCAAACAAAATTAAAACAATTTCTCTCTCACTTAAAGATAGACTACTTTGATAGCTGTGATGTATGACATTACCAGAAGCCCAGGTGCTCTCTGGTTGCTCTTTTGTCTTAATGTGCAGCATTCATCTCATGATCCAAGATGGCTGCTGTGGCTCCTGCCACTTCATTTACATTTGAGACCGTAGAAAGGAAGTGGATGGAAACTGCATATATTGTATCTAGTCACATCTCATGGAGCAGAACCTAGACATTAGCCACGTCTACAAAGACTAGGAAATGTCTATTATGGGTTGCCATGTGCCTTGACAAATGTGGGAGTTCTATTAAAGAAACAATGTAAAAATTAATACTGACAAAACTTTCAGTGTCTGACATGAAAGGGAATTGAAAAATATTTCAGATGCTTCTCAACATCATTTATTTCATCATATGTTTTGTAAAGGATAAGATTAAATTTCACCACTTTGTATAGCATGCAATGCTTTTCAAAACATTTTTACATTTAGTATCTCATTTGAGTCTTCATTACATTCTTGTGTGTTAAATAGGATCTTGATTCATTTTCCCATGTGGTAAGTTGGAATGGAGATTCAATGGTGTTGAAAGATTTCCCAAAGATTCTAATTTATTAGCAAAGCTACTCAGAGCCCCAGCTTTTTGATTTATAGGCATTCCTACTGCTTTATGCTGCTCAGCTTCAGTTTTGGATTGGGAATTGCAAGAATATCAAAACTAAACCTTTATTGATTTATGTCTTCCCTTACCTTTTTTTTTGGAAGTGCAGTGACTTAGAAAATGCCATGGAGACGCGTTGAGTTGACTTTCAACTTCCTTCCTTGAAGAAGGGGAGTTCTTATTATGAATAAAGGGTCCAAGAGATGGAGAGTGTTGCAGTGAGGGGTGAGAATCACTGGACCTCAGGGAAGACATTCAGACAAACTAGTTGGATGTGTGCCATATCCAACTCCAGAACTATGCAAGATGACGGCTAAAGAGCTGTGCTTACAATCCTTGGGGAAGCTCAGTGTTAGAAATATTCAAAACTTGTAGTCGCCTGTTAGTGAAGCTTAAGAGGCGATCAATAGAATCCATACAAAAAAAAAAAAAAAAACCCTCTTTCTCTACTTCTTCATTTTATCAGCAAGGCATTGCTTTAGTTTTGAAGGTTTTATTTGGTATTAAATGAGTTCCTTTTGCTTATTTGCTGGAGAAAAGAAATGCTTTAATTTGTCATAAGCTAACACCTTCACATGGAGAGTTTATCTGATTCCTTTCCCACCCACCATGACCCCTGGCTGAGATGAAAGTCCTATATAATGGGATCATCAGAGGTGGAGGGGTTGGGTGACTATGGCTGACTACAGAAATAGTGGGACTCCTGAAAGGGAGGCGGATATTTCAAAAGCTGAAAGATGAGGAATTAAATACGTGCAAGGCAATCTTGGAAAACTTTTTAAAAATGACTAAAAATGACTAGGATATAGTTTCTTTCTTCAAAAACAAAGGAAAGCTGGAAACAGGTACACGGTAATTCTTTTAGAAACTTAAACAAAAACTGAACGAAGCTCCTGAGAGGTCAGAGCACGGGATGGTTTTATGGACTGAAGGTTGATTGCACTGGAGGAACCGAAACACGGAAAGTTGGGTTGGACTTAAGAAAAAAGAGCGTGATCTGATCACAGGTGTGACTCTAAGGTTTCCTTTTCCATAGCTGTTGTGCCTCCATTGGTCTCTGGAACTGCAACTAAAAGTCCTCAGGCTGGATATCAGGGCTGGCTGAGCCTATACTGCTAACTATGTGGTGCCATCTTTCTCCAAGGCACTTGCGGCTTCCCTTCCTATCCCCTTCCTCCATCTCTGCTGGACATCGGTCAATCCCTACTATTCCCTCACCTCTTTCACCAGGGCACATCTCAAAACATTCTCTGAAACTCTGAGTCAGTGCTTCTGAGAAAGTGAGTGGGATCTGAGACCTGTGTGTTTTGTAGCCTAATGGATGGAATGCACATGGACCCATCTTCACAGTGCATTGACAGAATTCACCTGCCTTGCAGAGGCGCTGAGACACCCAATGGAGAAACCTGGGAACCTATGTTGTTAACACCAGCAACACCGGCATGGCAAAAGCCTCTGAACTTCCAGGCAAGGACTCGAGGTAACTGAACTAAACTCCAGATCGGATGCTGCAAATCTACAGAAGGGTCTGGAGGCTCTGTTCCAAGTGGTCTGTGGAAAAGACTGCAACTGTCATCCTGTGGCATGTGCTGCTGTGCTATGGGAACCCATCAAAGGACCAGATGTCTGTGCTTAAAAAACCCTTCCCTTCTTGCTGGGGAAAACAGGTGTTCTGAGAAGCGGAGCTGTGTGTGATTTAATCAGTGTCACATTTGTCTCTCACCTCGTCACTTTTTTGGTGTCGATTCTGTGGTCATCCATTCTTTTCCTTCTTTTCTCCCTCCAGAAGCCCTTCCTGGGATTTTCTTGCATTATTTTTTCTTTTATTTTTATCAACGCAATGTTGGGAAGAAAAATTTGGATCTTTATCTGGTGCCCCATTTTAGATGTAAAGATAGATATTCAATAGATAGTAAATTATTTCTCCTAAGAGATAGTTCCTTTTGTTTCTGTGCAATAATATGTATGAACTTGGTTACTAGGAGATTGTATTGTGACATGATCAGTCTTTATTGCTATTTAAAATGATAGTTTGTAGAACTGAGGATTTCCATTGGTGTGAAGCACAATTTAATGAATAAGTTAACATATTAAACTGTTGTGATGTCAAGAACAATTGTTTTCCCCCTGTGTTTTTGTCAGAGACATTTTTTTGTAAACTGAAAAAGTTAAACACTTTCAGGGATTTATGGAAATGGGATCCACAAGGCCAACTTTCTCAAACTGAAAAATCCATGCTTTGGCTACAAATGTGGTTATTGGATGTGAAACTTTAAAAGCCATAAAGTACAAAGAAAATATAGATTGAAAGAATTGAGAGCCTCTGGGGCCAGGAAGGATTTCACAAGCCCTCAAACATAGGCTTCTAAAACCATGTCCTCGAAGACCCCCTCTCCCCAGCCCAGGCCCACTCCAGCACTTTGCAATCTGCTGTGCAATGTAGAAGAGTCACGTGGGGGTGAGGGATGAGGTGAGGATTGGAAAAAGCTCGGAGAGAAACAGGGGTTGGCGCAACAGATCTGGGAAAACAATCTAAAGGAAGAAAAGGGGAAAGAAAAGAGGGGGGGAGGGAGGAATGGGAAGTGGAAGAACTGAAGAAATCCACAAACAACCACAAACACTCTCCCCAATCTTAGTGTATATGGTTCGACAGCAGTAGCTAATTCCTATACTATAAGCAAAGGAGATTATAGTAGAGCAAGTTTCTTCAAAAATTTCTTGAATGATGCAGCTTATATTTTCTTGTGGATCCTTCCCTTGCCATGGGTGGGATTTGTACCCTGAGAAAAATGTGATTGATATTGTCCCTCTACCTAGTGGGAATTACACGCAAAGGGAGCTTGACGTGAGGGCAAGTGAAGTTGCCATAAGGGAGGCTTCAAAAGACAGTTGCAGATAAACACACAGAAACACATGGTGTGCATGTGTGTCCATGCAAAGGGGAGACAATGTGGGGCTGTCAAGGAAACTTCAGGTAAGAGAAGGACCGTGGACCTTAAGATTTACATTTTGTTCCTTGTTAAAGCGCAGTAATCCCCTCTCATCTACGGGGATATGTTCCAAGTGTCCCACCGGATGCCCAAAACTGCTGTTAATACCAAATCCTTTTTGTAATATGTTTTGTTCTGAACATAAATCTTAACAACATTGGCATGTGATTTTTTTCCTCTTTTCTTAAAACATGAGCTTTCACTTTTAGACTTAAAGCAAGCACGTCAGAGTTTCTCTTTGGCACATGCAAATAGCCACCCTCACTATCCTGTGTTTGGGGGCCACTGCTAAATTAAGTAGGAGTTACTTGAATGCAAGTACTGCCGACTGCCTCAATTGATCTGATAACCAGATGGACTGCTTGGTGACAGGCGGCTAGCATTTACGAGTAAGACACACGGATATGCCGGACCAAAGGATGAGTCAGGTTCCTGGGGGCATGTGGCTGGGATCAGAGGGGCACACAATTGGAGGCTTATAATTTGTTTGTTTCCATAACTTGCCATTTAATATTTTGAACTGAGGCTGACCATGAGTAATGGAAACCATGGAACAGGAATCTGCCAATTAAAGGAGAAAACTATAATGTTGTAAATAAGGTTGAGAATGTTGAACTTATGGGAACTGTACTCTCAAATAAAATACCATTTTAGCCTCATAGACCAGTTTTCATATTAAATGCAGGTTTGCAAACTAATGGAATATAAAATATTCTAGCATAATTTTAATTATATTAAAAATACTAAATTTTATGATTACAAAATAATACATGACCTTAGAGAATTAGAAAAAGGCAAAGTTCTTAGAAATTCTTATGTTATACGAACTCTGATATTATTTTTATGTATTTTATGCATATACATTCTTTGGAAACACAAATTTAATAGCTGCTTATAATTTTACAGTTACCATATTTTTATCATTCTGATCATTTTCCACTAATATAAATAACATGGAAGTTAATTCATTTGTACCTGAGTATTAAGAGAATGGTGGAGTGCTTGGTTGCATTTTCCCAATAATCCAGAAAAAAAAGTATTTCAAGATTGTTAAAAGTAAATGAATTATGAAAAAATTGTTCTTTCAATTTTCAAGTCACCTATGTCATTAAAGAAAATCATACGGATCTCTCTAGAGCCACCCCACCTGCCCAGGACTCAAGGGCTCAGGCCGTAGGATGCTGGGAGTGTTGGCTGCTGTCTCTCAAGGACCTGCTCTTAGCTGGAGACACTTCTCCAAGGCCCTGCCACCTCCTGGGGCCATGCCACATCTGATGGGGATCTTGTGCAGGTAGGGCCAGAATCTTCGACAAGCAACAGCTGGGAAGGATAGCCTTGGCTCAAAAGCCCTGTAGGATCACCTGAGGACTCTGTTGTGAAATCTCAGGTCGCTTTCTTCCTCTGCCCCGGCTTAGTCTGTTTTGTGCAGCTGTAACAGAAATCAAAGACTGAGCAATTTAAACTGGACAGTTTGGCTCACAGTTCTGAAGACTGGGCAGTCCAAGATCAAGGGGCCAGCATCTGGCTAGGGACTTCTTGCTGTGTCATCTCATGATGGAAAGGCAAAGAGAGAGCGAGCAAGAGCAGGACACTGAACTCACAGCGTTAATCTGTTCATAGGAGTGGAGCCCTCATGACCCAGATGCCTTCTACAAGACCGCGACTGCTAATACTGTTGCCCTGGGAGTTAGATTTCCAGTACATGAACTTCTGTGCTCACAGCCAAACCGCAGTGGCCCTTCCTGCCTCCGTTACTCCCCTGCAGGTGTAGTCCCAGTCACCTTTGCACACACACACATCCTAACCCCACACTCCACTCCCTGGGGAACAAAACCTGCCCTGAGAGAGCCCCCAGTTCTAGGAAGCTTTGTCCCAGCACCTGCAGATTCGTCTTCTGGTCTTTTGAATTCAGCTATGTTTTTAGAAGTTATTTTGACATACTTTACCCAATATTTCTACCTGTTAATGGCTGAAACAGAAATCTTAGATGTTAGCTCAGTTGTTCAAGTTACCGAAAAGGAGTCTGTCTTTCGATTTTAAAATCTCCTTTAAATTCACGTTTCTGTTATTTCCAATTAAAGGGGAAAACTATAATGTTGAAAATAAGGTTGAAGAATGTTGAACTTATGGGAACTCTACTCTCAATATAAAATACCATTTTATTCTCACAGACCAGTTTTCATAATAAATTCAGGTTTGCAAACTAATGGAGTATAAATATTCCAGGATAATTTAATTATATTAAAATATTAATTTTTATGATTAAAAATAATACATGACCTTAGATAATTAGGAAAAGACAAATAGATAATTAGATAATTAGAAATTTTATGTTATACAAACTCTGAGATTATTTTTATATATTTCATGCAATCTATACATTCTTTGTACACGTTTCTATTCTCTTCCATGTTTTGGAGCTTCATCCTGTGCTTTCCATTTCAAGGTTCTAGATTTACTGGCTGCCTTGCACTTCTTTTCTACTTTTTAAAAAACCACTGATTTATTTGTGTGAAAAACAGAGATAGAGAAAGAAATCTTCCATCCTCTGGTTGACTCCCCAAATAGCCACAAACAGCTGGGGTGGGCTAGACTGAAGCCAGGGGCCAGAAACTCCATCAAATCTCCCACATGGGTGGCATGAACTCAGGTACTTGGGCTTTCCAGCATGTTAGCAGTGAGCGGGTCAGAAGCACAAAGTACCAGGGACTCACCAAGCACTCCAGTGTGGGCTGTGGGAGCTCCAGGCAGCAGCTGACCCCCCTGCATCACAGCATGCATCCCTCTTTCCTCTATTTCTGGAACTTTCCAACTTGTATGCTCATTCTTTCATAGTCCTTCATGTTCCTATTCAATCCTTTTAACAATATGCATGCTTATATTTTTAATTCTTACATATATATTTTACTTTTTTGCTGCTTAATTTCAGTTCCCAATTTATAACTGTACATTTATGGTTGAATTTCATCCTAATTTTCTATGTTTAAAATAATATTTAATTGTCTTCAAAGCTTTATTGCTATGATTTAGTGCTTTAAATTTCATCTATCTTATAATGCCTAACTTTTCATTTTTACTGGCAGTTTATACTCACATTTCTATTGAAGTTTTTTTTTTTTTTTTTTTTTTGACAGGCAGAGTTAGACAGTGAGAGGGTGAGACAGAGAGAAAGGTCTTCCTTCTGTTGATTCACCCCCTAGATGGCCGCTACGGCCAGAGCTACACTGATCCGAAGCCAGGAGCCAGGCGCTTCTTCCTGGTCTCCCACACAGGTGCAGGGGCCCAAGCACTGGGGCCATCCTCCACTGCCTTCCTGGGTCACAGCAGAGAGCTGGACTGGAAGAGGAGGAACAGGGACTAGAACCCAGCACCCACATGGGATGCCGGTGCCACAGGCGGAGGATTAACCCAGTGAGCCATGGCGCCGGCCCCTCTATTGAAGTTTATTTAAATCATTGGTTGCAGCCACCCCTTCACAATATTTTGCAACACACTTGCATTATTTCCATTATTTTTTTAACTTTTATTTAATAAATATAAATTTCCACAGTACAGCTTTGGATTACAATGGCTTTTTCTCCCTCATAACTTCCCTCCCACCTGCAACCCTCCCCTTTCCCGCTCGCTCTCCCCTTCCATTCACATCAAGATACACTTTCAATTAACTTTATATACAGAAGATAAATTTAGTATATATTAAGTAAAGATTTCAACAGTTCATACCCACATAGAAACACAAAGTGTAAAATACTGTTTCAGTACTAGTTATAGCATTACTTCACATTGGACAACACATTAAGGACAGAGATCCTACATGAGGAGTAAGTGCACAGTGACTCCTGTTGTTGACTTAACAATTTGACACTCTTGTTTAAGGCATCAGTAATCTCCCTAGGCTCTTGCATGAGTTGCCAAGGCTATGGAAGCCTTTTGAGTTCACCGACTTTGATCTTATTTAGACAGAGTCATAGTCAAAGTGGAAGTTCTCTCCTCCCTTCAGAGAAAGGTACCTCTTTCTTTCATGGCCCATTCTTTCTACTGGATCTCACTCGCAGAGATCTTTCATTTAGGTCCTTTTTTTTTTTTTTGGCCAGACTGTCTTGGCTTTCCATGCCTAAAATACTCTCATGGGCTCTTCAGCCAAATTGACATATATGTTCTCCCTGATTGGTAACAACTAATCAAGCACCAAAAAGGAAACCTGTCGAAGTGAAAAGGACACCATGAGAAACAGTGACTTGATCAGCCCTTGTTCTGACTGTTTATGTACAACTTAATACTTTATCCCTTTTAGTATTTTTTGTTCTACTTAATACTATTGGTTGAACTCTGCAATTAACACACAATTATTCTTATGTGTTTAAATTTAACTGAAAAGTGATCCCTGTTAAATATAAGAGTGGGAATAAGAGAGGGAGGAGATGTACAATTTGGGACATGCTCAATCGGACTTGCCCCAAATGGTGGAGTTAGAATCATGCCAGGGGATCCCAATACAATCCCATCAAGGTGGCATGTACCAATGCCATCTCACTAGTCCAAGTGATCAATTTCAGTTCATAATTGATCATAGTGTTAGGATTAAGTGTCAAAGGGATCACAGAAACAAGACTAGTGTCTGCTAATACTATCTGATAGAATTAAAAAGGGAGAGAATGATCCAACATGGGAAGCGGGATACACAGCAGACTCCTAGAATGGCAGATGTCCTAAATAGCACTCTGGCCTCAGAATCAGCCCTTAAGGTATTTCCATTATTTTTTAACCAATGCGTGGTACTCAGCTAATTCTGACTTCAGAATTTTTATTATGTAGGAGCTTTGTATGTATTCAATTATTATAAAAAGTCCATGAATATCTGAAAATAATATGCATTGCCTTTGAAAATAGATATAAGACAAACAGGTATATGATATAAACTATATATATAACTGTATGTTATAAGTATATGTCTGCATATAATCATTTAAATACACATATATGTATGTGTATTTAAATGTATATATTTATATATACATGTGTATATAATTCAGTAGAGACAGATGATTGACAAGAATTTTTATGAATTAACAGTTTTTATCAATCATTTTATCAATCATTATCAATATTTTATCAATTTTATCCATATTTTTATCAATTCATAAGAGTTGTTAGCCTTTGCATTTTGGTGATTTATTATTGTGTTAATGACTTCCATGCGCTTTATTGTTGAAACTATCATGCTCAGTACAAAATGACCTGTTTTGATACCTTTTGCTTTAAATTCTCCTTTCATCTTAGTATTATTTTCAACATTTGATAACTTACAATTAACGTGTTGTTTAATTCTCCACATAATCTGAGTCCTTGCCTTTTAACCTGAGAGTTACAAGTGATACATTGTGGCTTTCTGTTGTTTTCTTGTTTTCTGATTTCTACTGTTTCTTTTTTTTTTCCTGTCATCATAAACTATGACTTATTTGGAATCAATGTTAAGAATGCAACAACATTTAGTTGACTTTCCTTTTTGTAATTGAAGATGTTCACATTTACCTTCATCCCTCTTCCTACTTCCAGTTGTTTATTTTAATTCTCTGGATCCACAACTCCAGATTAGAAATAAGCTGGGACTTTAGATTCGTATTGTTGTGGCTATACTATCATTACAGTTAGCATTACAACTTTATTGAAAGAGGGCGGATAATAAACTCTTATTAAATCTCTCATCTTCATCTGGAAGTACTGAGTTATAATGTCAGTGTCTT